CTCCCCGAGTTGGTTAGTAATGTAGCGGTGGTTTCCTTTCCATACAGTGTCCATAGATCCCCGCGAGTTGTGGAGGAAAGTTTTCAAAGCGGAATGTGACGACTCAACCCTGTTTGTGCTCGTATTTCCTAGATGAAACACATTTTTTGTATGACAAACAGCCCACTTTTCTCGATGTTGCCACCACACTCCCTGTATGTATTGCAACAGACGTGGTTCGTTATTGCCCCATCTTGTCCTAAAGCGGCCAAACGCGGCCAACATACCTTGCTCTGACCAAGAATAAAGCATAGGACACCAATATTGATCGTACGCCTCGTTGACCAAATCCATCCTGTCCTTCCCAAATATTTCCAAACACTTCTTCTGCACATTGGTGTTGATGTGCCAAACACATAGCAAATGCGGGGTGCGGGGGAAGACCACAGGAACCGTAGCAAGTAGTCCACCTTCGTGGTCGGTGACGATGACACTGGGCACGCGTGGATGGAGCAATTGTTGTATGCACTGCAATAGCCAAAGATACGACTCTTTTGTCTCATCCTTCATGAGAGCACAACAGATGTTGAAATTCTTCCCAACTGGAGTAGCACCTACGACCTCCACCCACGGCCATTTATATGCATTGGTCTTATACGTTGAGTCGATCAGAATCACGTACGGCCAAGCCTTCAACATCTGGATGGAAGTTGGATGGGCAAAAAAAAGATGTGTCAGCACGTCGTCATCGTCCTTCATAACCTCTGTATGATAATTCTCACGTTCAGCTGCTAGCAACGCATACTGCACTGCATTCATCTCGCCCATCTCGTCTTTCCTAGACTTGGACCCGAGGTTATACATCTGCCTTTGGCTGTGATGCCCTTTGTCACCCTTCTGCTTGTTTATTGTCTGCTTCTGTTGCGACGGAGGTACCCCAGCATCTCTCATCTGCCTCAGAGATTCTTTATCCTCCTGACTCAATTGATTCATTTGACTGTGGCCTTCGGGATAAAGCATCTTCTCATGATTGTGATACCCTCGCCTTAAACCGGTTCCTTGCTCCGTCACTCCTTGTATCTCCCAGAATGAAGGTCCATCAAGAGCATCTGGATTAACCAGTAGTTCTTTGATTTTAATCCTGAACATGCACCCCGATCCTTTTGAACTTGTATTGTCACGACTCTCCTTGGAAGGATCCGGCTTGTATGACTTCCTCTCCCTACTGCATCTGTCGCAATACATATAACAGATACCCAAAAATCTTTTGTTGCTCAACTCACGTGGCTTCATCGATCCCTTAGTTAGAAAGAAACCAAGAGACATCGCGATGTTTTTGGTAACTGTTACAGCATCTTCGAAATTGTTGTATCGGACGCCATTGAGAAAATTGTCCGTGTAATCACCAATTAGTTCAACATTGTAATCCATGTCCACCTGCAATTGTGATTTTACAACTCGTTAGAAATGTACAAAATTAAACTAAATGCAATAATTTAATTAAGTCTAAAAATTAATGATAATTTAAATATAAATTGTTAAACGAAATTAGCTCTACGAATTAAATCTAAACACAATAAACTAATTTGCGCTACAACAAAACACAATCACTTAATTAAACTAATTGTGCTTCAATTGACTCTACAAAATTAAACAACATGCAATAATAATTAACTCTACAAAATAACAATAATTTGACAGTAAGAAACTAATTAGCGCTACAAAAAATACAATCTCTTAATTCAAACTACATATGAATTTAACTATGTAAAATAGAAATAAAAGCAATAAATTAAATATACATTATTAGCTCTAGAAATAATAACCTGTCTCAAATTAAAATATATATATATATAACACACTGCCGACTGCACCCGGACGCCGGCGACGGGCCCCGTCCGCTCGCCGGCGTCGGACCGCGTCCGCTCGCCGGCGACGGACCCCGTCCGCTTGACGGCGTCTGACGGGGTCCGACGACGGCGAGCGGACGGGGTCCGACCACGGCGAGCGGACGGGGTCCGACGACGGCAAGCGTACGGGGTCCGTCGACGGCGAGCGGACGGGGTCCGACGACAGCGAGCGGACGGGGTCCGACCACGGCGAGCGGACGGGGTCCGACGACGGCGAGCGGACGGGCAAAAAATTCCAGGAAAGTCAGTGGGGGTTTACCTGCTTCGCTGGTCCGACGATGGGGTACGGCTGCCGTCCAGTGCCCGGCGAATTATACTGACGAGATTGGTCCGGTGGCCGGCGACTTAGGCTGCCGTCCGGTGGCCGTGAATCTGGCTGTGGTGTTTGTGGGGAGTTGGTGGTCGGGACTCGGGTAGTGTGTTCGTGTTTAAAAAACCATTTCAACGAATAGAATATAAAGAAAAATTTGGAGGGCAAAATTGTCTTTTTAGTGTTTTTTACGGGCGGCAAATAGTAATGACACGGGCGGCAAATAGTAACCCTCGTTTTTTTCTTGTAATGATTTGGTACACTTTGAGAGGTCCCTTAGTTAAAAGGGTACGTGGAGTTTAATAAATTTTTTGATTAACCATAAATAAAAGAAATTAGGTACCCAAATATTAAATATAATTTGTCAAGATTCATGGATCAAACTATTCATGAATCCACCCAAACAATTGGATTTAGATAAAATAGATTGAATTTAAATGAATTGAATTAGTTTGATATTTCAATGAAATGAAGGGATTAGATTGGATTCTTGGATTGGAATACTAATTGCTACCTCTAATTATACCTATTCAAACCATGGTTCATGAAACCGTACCGGAGATCGTACCGGAAAAATTAGCGGTAGGGTGGCAAAACCGTGATTGAATCGTAGTTCAACCGTTAATACTGTTAAATATCGCCTATCGATTTAACCTCCGATACTGGTATTTTGTGGTTGAACCGCCGGTACGGTTTAGTAGACCATAATTCAAACACTAGTTTCAAACTACCATCAAATATATATGATCGCTATAATTAAATGATGCCTTTTCCACATTGATTGCATTCCTAACAAGAATAGTATGCTTTGATTGGCCCAACATGATTCACTACCAGTACTAGATTCACATGTATTGGAAAATCGAGGAATTCGTTATTAGTCTGGATTCGACAAAGATACACGAATACATTCCCTTCACATGCGTTTTGTGTTTCCAAGCATAAATGTTCTTCTTTCTCTCTTTTAAGTTATGGCATGCACTTTGTATTTTGGCCTCACTCAGAAAACCTAAGATAACTACAAACCTGAGCTTTCAAATAAAATGATGGTAAGCAAAGGTAAGATAGTCTAACGGTAAATCTGCCGCGACAGTGAAGGTTTGGGAGTTGCAGATTTCAGGCTTGAATTCAAGCGAGACTCGTTGCTGTTTCCGTAGGTACAAGGCTGTTGAAGGCGAAGCCCCATTAGCGTCGAATTTGATTGCAAGTGACCCTCAAATTTAGTAGGACCCGTTGTTACAAAGTGGCACGTGAGCTGTGGTTCCTTGGTAATAAAAAAAAAAAGGTATGTTCAAATTTTCAAATCAAATCAAATCACAACTATAGTCAGACTCTTTTGGTTGGTCATTAACTTAGACAATAGATTATTTTTCTGGTTAACGACTTGAGACTAAATTGGAGAATATTTCGTAGCTAGCATATCAAAGGTATGTTCCGACAAAAAAAATTTTAAATCTTTAGAATTGAAATAAGGGTTACCGCCACCTTAATCTTTTACTTCTTTAGCTTCCGAAACTCTGATTTCTGCCATCTTGGCTACTGAATCAACCAACCTCAAAGAATGTGTGACGTAGCCATCCATCTCATCTTCTCGCAAGTGACGCACCATACCAATTGGTTGTTTTACCTCTACGGATCACAAACGGATTTCGGTAGGCTAAGCTTCATTACCTTTTGGTCATATTCGGTGAACCATTTCTTCAAATTTGCGAATTCCAATACGAGTAAATGCAAGTGGCAGAAAATACACATTTCATATTGCTTGATATGGTGGTTTCGAGAATGTCTAGATTTTGAACCATTCAAAAAATCATAATTAATATATTATTGTTGAAACATATTTAAAAATGTTAACTGCTATTGTAACATTTAATTAAAAATAAAATATTTTATTTATTTTTATAAAATGTCAAATTTATGCTTAACTAAAAGAATCAAAATGGCTAGAAATATTGAGATTAATTGCTAAAGGTATTTAATGAAATAAATGAAAAAAAGGAATAGATAAAATGGAAGAATAAATAATAAAAAATCAAGATATAATCTCTTGAATTATGAGAGATTTATATTTCTAAATTTTAAAGATTTGAACTTCCTTAATCTAAAATACATATTACTAAAGCATATAAAAAAACATAACTTTCTGCTGAATCTATGAATTTAATGAATTTATAGATTTTCATGAATCCATAACTCAATTCATTTTCTCCAAACCACCCCTCAATGTCTAAGAATGAGGATGCAACGGTCTGGTCGAGATTAGACCAAACTCGTGAGAACTGCCGTTCAATTGTGAACCACACTTTGGACCAAAAGACAGATCATATTATATTTATTTCACTATAGTCTAGTCAAGGCATCGGTTCGATCCGGTGCACTTCGGATCAAGCATTGCACACCCCTAAAATTCACTAATTTAAGTTAAAATCATCAGCTTATGATGGCAGCAAACCCTTTTCATTAGGACACCATTTGTTACGCCTACGTACACATTACAACAGGACATTGGTACGCTCAAGTTGGTATAGAACGCGGGACTATTCGGATATCATCTTGACGGCCACATGAACCTAGGAGAAAGCTGGTATCACGAATAAGAGAAACATCATCTGTCTACCTGCCAGTAATCTGTGCCATCTTAACCCATTCCGACCAGGCAAAAGGGGACGATAACCTATCGATACTACTGCCCGAGGTCGATAATTTCACTTGCCTACAACATAACATCTACATACTATATTCATATTTCGCCTGTGACATAAATAAACAAACAAACAAAACAAAGCTCGACCGACGCCTGTTCATATCTTTACGAACCGTACGTCGCTCTGACCGAAGGCTGTTCCACACCCAGGGCACTTACGATGCCGTAACTCCAGATTTCTTTGGATGCACGGATTGCAGAACAGGTGATAACATTTCACGATCACAACCTGTGAATATTGAGAGAAACCAAAACCAAAAACCAGATCATGTTCTGTCCCTGTCAAGTTCAAATGAAGCTATAATATATATTCAGCTGGCAAAATACACTTACTTCCTTGGGCCGATCCGAGCATACACTGCACTTGAGAATCCTTTTGCAGTCATTAATTTCATCCTGGAGTCTTTCTATAGCAGCTTCACTGGTCTCTGAAATCAACTCGGCGATCTGATTGTTCAGCTCCAACAGCTCTTCCTCCACTTTCTGCCTCTCATATCTGGTTCACCAATATTGTGAGTTCAATCATCATATGTGTTGTTCAGAGGAAACAAGTAAGGAGGGGAACATATATAGGGCTTGGTCGTTTTAGCTAAACAAAGAAGTAACCTGACAAAAGGTTCCATTAAAAGCTAAAAGCCTAAATTCATATCGCATCAACTCGATTTTTTGTACGAACCCAATCAAATACACCTTTCGTAACATCTTTTTCTTGGCCACTTTTTATCATTAGTAGCAAAAGTGGAAACAAACACAGCCTAAATAAAGGTGACAGGTACAGGAGCAATAGAGCAACCACTGGTATACAATGGAGCACAAAATGGATTTCCGTAAATATTTCATCCTATTAACTGTAAATCACTTGTTTCTGGAGTTATGAGTTATGACCATGCCGAAGCACTATTACTATACGAGTAACAGAGGGGGGAAGAAAAAGACAAGCACACCTTTCATTCTCCAGCTCTGTTCTTACTTCATCCGACTTCTTTTGGATCTGCTCATATTCCTTTTCAGAAGAAGCAATAGCATATTTGATCCATTTCTGTTCCTTCTCAGCATCTGTTAGTTCCCACCGAGCCATCTCGAGAGTGACTGCTAGATGTCTTTCTTCTTCAGTATACCGGATTGCATCAGCAAAACATGTTTTCATCTGCAAAAAGTCGATCTTACTGGAGATGCAGAAAATTCCAATGCTCATGCAGAGCACTTGATTGGCGAAAATGGGAGACAGGGAGGGAGACTTACTTGTTCCTCACTATGGGCGATCCTCGTTTTCACTTGTTCTATTGATGCATTTAACTGTTGAAGTTGCTTTGTCAGGGCCTGTTTCTCAGCTACCAAAATGCTGTGGGCCTGCTTTGTCTTCACACTATCAGAAACGAGCTGCATGAATTAGAAAAATAGTAGTGAGTATAGATGGGTGGACATTGACTGTTATCATAAATATACTTCTCATGCCACCTAGATTAAAAAAAAAAAGATTACTAATGTGGACAAAAAAACCTATGAATGGTGAACAACAAAGTAAACCTTGATATTGTAGTCATCTCTTTCAGTAACTTGTTGCAGTAGATGCTGGTTCTGCGTCTGCATATCTTCATAGGCTTGACCAACAGTCTGGATCCGTGAATAAATTTGGTATTAACAAGGAGGGGAGGGAGATATTAACAGGCGATGCTTGGGGCATATATCAATCCAGGAGCAACGTAGAAGAAGATAAATACACCTTAATCAACTGACCTCAATTTCAGAAATAAATGCCTCAGCATCCTTCTCTTTGATAGCAATTGCTTCATTGAGCTCCATTACATCTCTGTATCAACAGTTAAGCAAAAATTTCATGCGTATTAGTTCTAGAAACAGTGACAAAGGTCAGAAGAAATCAAAGAGCGTTAGACAAATTGTGAAATGTTTTATAGCACTAAACGAACAATTAAAGCATGCAAAAGTATTTTGCCCAGCCACTCACAACATTTCCAGAGCAACTTCCTACTAGAAGATATAGCATCCAGTGGAAAGCTAATCCATAAATCAGAAACGAACCTTTTAGAAGCATCCAATTTGGCCCTTAATTCCGAAATTTCAGCTTCAGCAGCAGTAAGTCTTTGTTGGCACGCCATCTCAGCCTCATTAGCCGCTTTAACTCTCAACTGAAGAGGATGTTCATCTAAGGCACTCCTTAAGGCTTCAACTTGAGAAAGAGCCCTCCGTGTGGATTCTTTGATTTCGTTGATGTCTCTGCACAAAGTCAAATTACAACTACTACATGAATATATAATTAAGTTGTAAACACAAAGGTGACTTCTTCATGGCATAGAAACAAACAACATCTTGAATGAGACTGCAACCAAGAAATTAGCGCTGGCAAAAAAGGAGTTTCAATATCTCAGCAAAGCATTTTCTCGTTGTTCCCTTCCCAAGCTAAAGAGAGTCAACCACAAAAATAGGGGCAATGGGACCAAAAGTGTCCGTATCAAGAAGAAAAGAAACCAGAAGAATCTGTACTAAAACAGAATAGTTGACAAACAAGTTTAAGTTGGGGGTGAAAAGATGACCAACTCATACTTTTATTTTCGTTTTCTGTATTTTCACTAAGAACATATGACTTTTTCCCTGGTTTTGTTTTTCGAATTGATCTTATCTTCATTCAGGTTCCACTAATTCGAAAATGAATTGAAATAGGTGCTTAACGTCTCATCTAAGCAGTTCCAACTCGTAAATAACTTTCCAGATAGGCAAGAATACTTGCATGGAGTTGAGAATTCAATTTTTGACCAGTGATTTCAAGCCCAACAGAATTCTAATCCAAGAAAACCAACAATCCATACAGCCCACAGAGTACAAAACGATATATCTCGCTTAGTACCTCTCCAAAACCACGAGAAAGGATGAACTCCAAACAGCCAACTGATACATTGTTAGCTATTTAAATCAATAAATCACGAACGTGAATAGTTCAAACTGTAGTCAAAAGCGAGTTTCTACGTAGAAAACGTTTTGGTGATCTAGAAGCATAAAATCGTAAGTTTTTAAGTTTTAAAACGGAGTTTTTAACTACGTAAATTATAAAAACTGAGATTTTGTGTAAAAGCGTTTTAGTGACCTAAAAACGTAAAATCGTAAGTTCTTAAGTTTTAAATCGGGATTTTGACTACATACTTCCAAGGACTCGATAACAATGCCCTGGAATGCTAAATTCTTAATGATTACCAATTATTGGTTCAAAAGGAAACTGGAACATCGTCAACCCACTCATTAAAGACGACAATGAGCTTAGAAAATGGAAATCTGATCAGACATATTTCTCCCAACCAGTATTGTTATTTTTATTTTTTTTATATTTATTAGAGCATCCCTAGAAACTATAAAGCATTAACAAAATATGAAGGATCTAAGAAGCATGAAACAAAATCCAGGATATGGTATGAAAAATATGAGGAAACTGGATACTTCAAACTAACTAACAACATTTTAAGTTCAAGTCATTTCACCTGCAAACTCTCCTATTCAGAAAAAAAAAAGCCAAACCTAATCCTGAATCCCAAATGTTTATCTGACAATAGAGACAAATACAATAAACGAAGAGGCAGCCAGTTGTCAGAGTCACAGACATGAAGCATACCTATTATTAGAGCCTTCCTGCCCATACATATCCAATATCGTCTGCAGCTCCAGTTTCTCCTTCTGCAAACTTTCAACCTGCAAATTATTTATCTTCATTACTCATTCTGGCGAACCCATGGAATTTTTTGCCAAGGAGACATATGATTGAAGATATTCCTTCCGTGGTCCAGTATCCAATTGGTTTTTAAAGAGTGTGCTCAAAAACAGAATTTTCCTGCTACTAATTCCATGAGATGGTAAAGAAGAGAGAAAAATGTTGCTGTCCGGACCAGACAATCAAAATGTAATAAGAGACGCAGCCCCACCCCGCTGCTGTCTGGACAAGACTATTAATTATAAGTTCTTTATCTGGTCACTAATTGATGGTCTGCTCCATCACAATTCAATTTTTTGTACTTCCATTTCAAGATGGTGCCAGAAAAGGTTGACCAAAATCTTATATATGTCACCGACGATATTATAACTTTACAAGGAAAGCTGCACCAGTGGTACTGTTTTTTATCCAAATGGGTTAATGGGCATTAACTTCACATGGTTAACCAACTAATAGCCCCCCACCACCCCTAAATCCATTAAGCTTTTGCGTTTCCATCTTTTACAGGAAATCTTAAGTAAAAAAGTTTACCACCACGAACCATGCACTCTGACATTTCAGTGACAGCAGTCATCCTAATCCACAATTGAAGTTGTCTCGCCAATAAATAAAGCAAGAGCACTTAATGTCTATTTTGTCAATATGGGAAGATGTTAAAACCTTGCTGCACAAAGCCTGTTAACGAATGTCATTTCATACAGATGTATACCAAGGATAACCTATCCTTCACACTTTTAACAATTAAAGGAGGTGCCAGTCAAATTCAAGCCTCAAAGTCCTACTTCGAATTATTGTAGGCAACAATACTTTGCCAACATAATTTTTCAGGTTAAGTGGAGGCTCAGATGAGTATTTAAAGCATTAGATTAACAAAACCTCATTGGAGTAGAAGTTGGCTACAAACTACTGAACTAGATCTAGACATAATCAGCTGAAAGATAAACACCAGAGCACTACCACAGGATGAATAACATACCAAGCTGTAAGCATACCTGAGTCTTCAATGTTTTTATTTCTATCACTTGTTCAGCACACTTTCCTGCCAAGCTGTCTTGTTCATTCGTCTACATTGGAAATAAAAGGGAACAATGTAAATGAAAAACGGAATTCATAACTATGTTCAAATAACAAATACAAAGAAGATCAGTTTACCGAACACAAACAAGAAATCAAACCAAAAAGGCAGAATACTAAGTAAGAACATTATAAGGAACATGTCCAAACCAATAAACAACTCATGCATTCTATGGCCTAGTTATCTACTGGTTCTCTTTTTCCACTAGGTCGTGCAAGAAAGTTATTTTTATTTCTAATGCCAATTAGACAGCAGTTTAACACGGATGAGAAAACATCTTAATTTCTGAAGCAAAAATTACTACTTTCATGAGCATAGCCAGAGGAAAGATAAACTCAAAATCTTATGTTCTTTAGTTAGTTCCATCATAATTTCAACGTGCCTTGTTAATATAGACCATAAATACTAACAATGAGATCGTATAATAGATATCAATACAAAACCAATGCAGGATACATGTTAAATTGTTTAAGTCACTGTCTCATCAATTCTGAATTCTTTTCACCCAATTCTACATATACAACCAACACATGGAAGCATGCGGAGTTACAAACCTTTTCAATCAACAAAGCTTTCAATGATCGGGATTTTTCTTGCAAAGCAAGCGCTTCATCTGCTGTTTGCTTCCATCGATTCAATTGAACTTCCATCATACTCATTTCCTTGGATAATGCAGAGGCCATAACACGGAACTCTGCTTTAATATCCTTCCTCCCTAATTCAAAAATTGGTTCGGTAAGTGACAAAAACAGCTACGAGAGACAACTCTAAGTATAGTACAATTAATTTTACTTACCAGAATCTTGGACAGCTTCCTCCGCTTTAATCTCAAGATCATTCTTTTCAATCTTACACTTCTGCAGCTGAGCTTCGAGCTCTTCAATTCCAGAATTGTCACTGGCTATTGAATTCCTGGCAAAGTCAACTGACTCCAATTTTATACTTACTTCCTTCTCCCTTCTGACAATTGAAGACCTATCAGCCTGAAGTAATCTGTTTAACAGGATGAACCAACAATATATGTATGCAAGCATGTTCACAGAAAAAGAAGCTCATAACCTGCAAAGCCTCAAGCAGAACTTTATACCGCTCCACCTCAGCATTCCAGTGTTGAAGCTGATCGTTCACTAAGTTGTAGAGACGAGATGAGTAGATATGTTTATCATCCTTCAGGTCATTCTATGAAGATCCACTTGGACGATTAGACGCTTAGACAGACAAAATTGAACTAGTACTTCAGAAAATTGGAAAGACCATGCAGTCTAAGTGCACAAACTACAATACCTGAAGAACTTCCAAATCTTTTGATAAGATCTGATTTTCTTCTTGTGCATCTTGAAGCTCAGAAAGACGGGCAGCAGCTAGCAACTTAAATTTCAGGACAACACACTTAGCAATTGAACAATAGAATGTAAGCAGGCATGAAAGGCTTTAGCATGACTCAGTACCTTAATTTCCTCTATGGAATCTCGCAACTCTCGCAATCCCTTAGATCTATCAGAAGACTTCTCTGGGGACATGCTTCCATTTGCAGCACTTGGAACTGGACCATGCATTTCAGCATCAGTATCTTTTTGCATCTCCAGATTGATCAACTTTCTTCTGCTGTCTTCTAGTTCAACCATACATTCTTCCAGCTCACCTTTTAAAGAAATACAATATGTTACAACTGAACCTAATAGCAAGATGACCAATCTAACTTATGCCACAAACGGCAATGCTGGCGGAGTTATATACTCTGTGAGTAGCACAATCCCCATAAAGTCGATGTCACTGTGTTATGTATAGCAAATATAAACGAATCATACAAGAAACCTGCAAGGCGTGAAATTTCAGATTGTTCTGTTGAATGCATGCTTGTGTAGTTCTCAATTCCCTCCATGTATTCTTTATGCTTTACATGGAGAATATCAATCACCTCCTGCAGATTCCGTGCTTCTTCTCTCATCATATCATCAAGCCTCGACAACTGAATGATGGCATCTGAAGATGAAAAAAATCAGTTACAACTAAGGAATTAAAAAGTTCGTCCACAACTCAGCAGATCCAACATAAGATCTTAAAGTTTGAGACAAATGCCTAGATCTGTTGATCTGACCTTCTGCAGATAGCTTTCCTTCAAAAGCCTGTCTTATGCTCACAGTCTCCGTCCTCTGAGTATCAATAATGGATTCCAAAGACTCCATCAACCCTATACTGGAGGAAAGGCGTGAAGCAAGCATTTCATTGGTATATTCAGCAATTCCATCATTTTGACGGTTTTGAAGTGAATCCTTCCCCAGAAGTCTACAAAGAAACACTTCCTCAGCAGGACAAGATGGGACCGAACCTAAAAAGTGTACCAAAAAGATTGTACCACACAAAATATAAGATGCAACAGGAGAAAGAAACCGGAAATAAGCACTTCAGAAGAGTTGAGGATAGTGGCATTACAATAAGGGTAAGAACAAAAGCTGACCGATACCTCGAGAATAATCTGCATCGTCGAAAGTTTGTAGCACATTCGGGCCACCACCAGCTCGTGCACTAAGTAGAACCAAATCGTCGACCAACTGCAGGAAGTATACAAATCAAAGAGAGGAAGCAGGAAATACCCTCAACAGAGAGAATATTGAAAGAAAAGTAGGAGAAACCAAAGAGATAAGGTGAGAGAGAGAAACAAGCTCCACCCACCAACCTGATTCCACACTTGATTTGTTGTGATGAGAATCTCATCATATGAAGCCTGATTACCTTTCAGTTCTGCAATCTTGGCTTCTAGATCACGCAATTCGCGCTTTTGGACATCCAATTGTTGAACAAGCTTTTGATTCTGGTGATGGAGAACCATAACATCAACCTGAATAGAAAACCCAACCTGAGAGCACTTCCTCACAGCTGAAAAACCTCCACTACGCAGATAAATCGTGTGCATAAACAGAGGATATATACAAGAGCATCCTTGATGAGTAAATACAATGTCGTATATGAATAATGATAGATGATCTTTGAGTACAAGCAGCACATCCCGATTCATAATGGGCGAATTCAGACTTTCATTTGTGCCTACCCCAACACCAATTCGACCAATTCTACAAAGCAAGTTCAGGTAAGTTGGATAATAGCCACCAAATCCAATCAAGACGGACATATTCGCCTACCTCACTCAGACTAGAGTCTACGACTAAACCCCTAGCCTCCTCACCACCTCAATCAGCTCTCAACTGAAACTCAATTTCACCAACGAGAGAGTGCGAAATGAACAGGAAGACACAGTAGGAATTGCGAAAAAACCACTTACAGTTAACCTAACCATCAACTAAGTTCAGTATACTCATCACACAAAGTTAAGTATAGGCAAGCGACGCAATTGCAAAAAAAAGCCTTTTCGAAAAAACACTATCAATCCCTCCCCCTCGCTGCAACCAAACAGAAACACGGCAACCAGTGCGAGGACCGAAATAATAGAAAAAGGAGAGCGGGGAGAAAGTACGGTTTGATTCTTGGTCGGAGAACTGGCGTGATTACGAGACATGGCGGGCGAAACAGGAGAATCGAGATGAGGCCGCTTCTTGTCTGGCTCATCCGATTCTGAGTTCTCCATTAAAAAGGAAAATTCAGAGGCTGCCGGACCGTTTCCGCTCTCGTAATTTCTTCCGTCGAAAAACGGTGAGCGACAGCCAGAGAGAAAGCGAGACGGCGTGATAACTGATTGAACGCCACACCCGTATCGGCTTCACGGCTCCGGTGGTAACGAAGTCGCCGTGGGGAGCAAAGAGAGGAAGAACCGCGCCTGACTTGGTGGTGGAAGAAGAGCAACTGTTGCGCTCACTGAACCAAGAGGGAAAATAACGGAGGAATCAAATTAGAAAATAAATAATACAGTGGGCGCGTGGGAGATTTTGCTAGACGCATTGGTGACTGGTGAGTATCTATGGCAAATGGGTAGGTTTGGGGCGGGTTTGCCTAACCCATACCCGCTCCATATTCATGCAGGGAATGTTTTGCAAATTCATCCCCATATTCATGAGTTTCGGGTACCCATGGGTAATACTCGTCTCTGTACATCCAATATTATTATACCTAAAATTTACAAGAAAAGGTTTAATTATAACTCTAAACGAACATATTATATCATGAAGTCAACAAAACACGGTCGTTTTCTTAATATGATTCAAAAAATATGATCCTAAAACATCCATTAATACATAATATAGAGTACAATATTTTCAAATTATTATGCTCTAACTTTGATACATCTACTAAGTAATGATTAACTAACATAATCTGGTTGACAAGGGTGAAAGTGGAGTGAGAAGAGAATTGAGGGAAATGAATTATATTTTGATTAGGGTGGTCACTCAATTGCATTTCTACTATTTACTTTCTCGAGTTATCCTCATCTTCATTGATAGATTACAATTTGATCCACATATTTTTTTATATGTGAAGAAATTCTTTTGGTGGGGAGGTATAGGTATGGGTATGGGGCGGGGGAGGCTAAAACCATACCCGCCCAATGCCCGGTCAAAGCGGGGATTCCCCGCGTTCACTGGGTCGGGAGCGGTCGGGTACCTACGGCCATGGGTTTGATTGTCATCCCTACTGGTGAGTGGTGACTCAGACTCTGGTCAAATCTGCCGCCACTAGGCCAGAAGAAGAAAGTTTGTGTGGAAAAAAATTAATCTGCTAACTCACAAATCCGTTAGCATAGACTAATAGGGCCAGATATGATGTCACGTCGGGCTAGGTAAGATCCAACGGAGGAGAAAGGCAGGCTCTGATGGCTCACTTAAGTGAGCCAGTGATGGGCTTGTGGGTAGAAGCCGGTCCATCCTGCGACTTGGAGGACGCGCCGAAGAAGCAGCTTTGTGGGCCCGCTTCCGTTTGGGTGGGATTTTTGGAGAGGAAGGGAGAGAGAGAGAGAACGAAAATTATGGGCCCGCTTATCCATGTAATATTTATGTATGTTTATTTGTGTGGATATTTATTTATTTTCACCCGATATTAATCTGTGTTGTGTTGATATTACTTTGTGTCATTGTTGAAATAAACTAGTATTCTTTCTTCGCAAACCAATATCCATCATTCAACTAATGTTTACCAAACCTCAATATAACCCAACCACCCGAAACTGATTATACCAATTTAGAGTTTAGGTTTTAGGGTTCGGGTTTACGATTTAGAGTTTAAGGTTTGGGTTTACAGTTTAGTTTGGGCAATCAACAAAATTTTTTTTGCATGAACTGATATTATATGCGATAGATATTGTGTCTTCCATCAAAACTAAACACGTTATCAAGTCCTAACACATAAGGCTTGCAACCTTAGTTAGGGATGCCCGCCGAGGGCCATGGGCTGAAGGCCCATGAAATAATAATAGTTAGAGCGTGAGTGTTTATGATTAGGGTTTCAGGTATAGGGTTCGAGTTTTTTTTTTATTTCGGGTTTAGAAGGCAATATTGTGGAAATGGTTTGAACACAATGTAGGGTGGTCGATTTTTGTCTGTAGTGATAAGATATTATTATGTGATTGGAGCATATTAGTTCGCAATGTGGGGATATTTTGGCTGTGTAACTGGATATTAGTCTAAGACAGACAGATATTAATCTGTGAGCGGTGGATATTAGTTAGAGTTTGTGATGATATTTATTATGGTAGGAACGAATATTAGTCTGGGTGGTGCGGATATTTTTTTATGTTGTACGGATATTGGGGCACTTTTGGTAACTATTCTAATGTGATCCTTTGTTTATTTAAGCATCTAGCATCACGCACTTAGCCAACCATATTACACCAATTTACGGTTTAGCGATTAAAATTTAGGGTTAAGGATTTAGTGTGATATGATCCCATTAGGATCGATATTCAAGCCAGAACGGATTGAGAAAGAAGCCAGCTCAACTACGTGCTATAATGCTGAATTTTTGTTGTGTCTTTTAACTGTTTCAGGTTGCCCAGTTTACACGTCCGGAACGTTTTATTGGCTTGATGGAAATCCAAGTTTGAAGGCTTGCTGTGAAGATAAAGTCACGTACTACACCATGGAGTGCTTCGGAGCTCAAACAAAGACCCAGAGCATTGTCTTTCAAGGCCCTCAAAATGGTATGTCACAACTGGGAAATGACCAAAATCTGCCCAAGTCTGGAAACCAGTTTGGGTACCCGACTTTGAAGGTCAATGCGTGCCGAATCAGTGGGACTCGATCCAAAGGGGCTTTGCTACATCAATCTACAAGTTTCATACTACAACGACGGGGCATTGGATGAGCGGATCGAAGATTGGAAGGCCTCGAACGAACCTGCCAAAGATCGTGTCGAAGCTGATTTTTTTCTGTCTTTGGATTCAGCAATCTCAATCCTTATCGGAAAGGGATCACTAGGCTGTTTTGAGTTTCAATTCTTTTTCCGAGTTTGTTTGGGTTAATTCGAGTTGTAATTCGTCAAGGACTTCCTTATGAGTTTCTAGGAATTAGTTCGAGTCTATTTAAGTCGAATCTTTGGTTGTAAATTTGAGTTTTATGCATTATTGAATACAGAGTTAGCTTTGGTTCTCCTTGCTTGTTGGCTTGGCGAATTGGGTTGATTGCTTAGGGTTTTCTAAGCAATTGTTAGCTTGTATCGAGCTGCTATTCACGTTGCCCGTGGCCAAGCCTCTACCATAGAGATCGAGCCTTTCTCCCGTGTGAGAATTGCACGAAATCTTCCATCAAAACCTAACTAAAACCCCCTGTTTTGTTCGAGGAAGAGTTGTGCTTCCCATAAACTCTCGGCTGCGTCGCTCTGGAATTAAGAGTACCATTTAGGGACTCATCAAGTGGCATCATCGCCTGGTTCAAACGCAGTGGACAGGACGGAGACGCAAGTTGCGGAAACAACGCGCTGGACGAGATCAAAGGGCTCTGTTTCTGAAGATCCTGCACTTTTACACCGCAAAACAGAGGCTAAAGAGGAGACTCGGGTTGAAGATCAGACGATGGGGGACTTGTCTGTAAACACCACGGAGTTGCTCCAAACCATCATCGCACAGTTGAATGCAACCTTCCAGGTCCAATTCGACAACATCAGACGTGAAATTGCCGAATTAAAATCGACGACGAATGCCCCTGCTCCGCTGAACGCTGTACACGAGGAAGTACCAGAGGGGAATCAAATCCAAGGCGTGCACACAGGGGTTGATCAGGCCCTAGTAAATCGTGTTCAGCAATTGGAATGACGACTGATTACAGCTGAACCTGGCCCTCGTGATGACAACCACGAACGGCGTCCCCCTGAAAACCAGCTGCCAGAGCTCCGGGGAGTAAAGCTGACAGTTCCAGCTTTTTCGGGCTCCAACAATGCATCAAGCTATCTCGATTGGGAGCGCAAGGTGGTTTTGTTCTTTCAATGTGGAAATTATACCGAAGCCCAGAAGGTCCTCTTGGCGACCTATGAATTCACGGAATATGCAGCCCAATGGTGGGAGCAAATCCGAATTCGCCGGCGACGGAACTTGCAACCCGACGTGGAGACCTGGACGGAGTTGAGAGGTCTCATGAGGGACCGTTTCGTGCCTGGATACTACCAGCGCGATTTATACGAGTCTCTCCAACAAGTTCGGCAAGGAGCTCGACCTGTTGAAGACTACTTCAGGGAATTGGAATTGTTGCTGATGCGAGCAGACGTCCGGGAGGATCGCGAAGCTACAATTGCCCGATTTTTACACGGATTGAATCGAGACATTCGAATGGAGCTGGAACTGAGATCCTTTGTGGACTTCGAAGAGGCTGTCCATCTCGCTATCAAAATCGAGCGACAACAGAAGTCAGCTCCGCGACGATTTTCCTCCACGGCCAAACCAGCAGCAGAGGTGAGCAATGAAACCGTTCCTACGCAAACAAGGCCTGAGGTGGGAAAATTGGCACCTAAACCTGTTCCACCAGCAATTACTGAGCGCTCTGGTGGCATCCAGTGTTTTAAGTGCCACGGTCGGGGACACAAAGCAAACCAATGTCCCAACGTCAAGGCTCTGGTAATTCGAGATGGTGCTTATGAATCCGACGATGAGAAAAGCGCAGAGGACGACGAAATAGAAGAGGAAATTGAGGTCGAAGCCGCTCCTGGAAAACTTCTTGGAGTCAGCAGGAGAGCAATGACAATGGAATCGACCCTGGACCCAGGACAACGAGATAATCTGTTCCATTCTCGTTGTCTCGTTAATGGGAATTTGCTCGCGTTGATCGTCGATGGCGGCAGTTGTGCCAACATGATCAGCCAAGAAGTCGTGAAGAAACTAGGTCTGGTCACGATCAGGCATCCAGAGCCATATAACCTCCACTGGCTCAATGATTATGGGGCTCTTCGCGTCACCAAGCAAGCTGCCGTGAAATTCGAGATAGGAGGCTACAAGGACGAGCTCCTCTTCGACGTAGCACCAATGCAAGTTGCACAAGTACTCTTCGGTCGCCCTTGGCAATTTGATAGAGGGGTAAGTCACGACGGGAGATCGAATTGCTACCGATTTCGACACGCAGGGAGGAAGATCCTTCTGAGGCCTCTATCGCCGGAAGAAGTTCGCGACGACCAACAACAGTTGGAGGATAATCGACGACGATCAAAAGGGAA